CTGCGGGTAACGGTTATAAGTTGAAAAGTGTTTAGAATATTATACATAAATTAATACTGAGATTTCAAATTATTGTAGATTAATTTATAAAGGGGAGAACGGGTCTACATAGCCAATTGCGAAAATCGAAAAATAACAGAGCGCTAGCTAAAAAATATCAAATTGGCACAGGTAGTTGCAGTGGAGTAAGCTATATTTCTGGACCAGGCCTATAATACATTTATATATTTATAGTACATATGTAAATCACTCATTAAATTATATAGGCAAAACCACGTATACTCTACGAGGGGCATGATTTTATTGTTCTGACAACAAATCATGAACAGGTGTGAAATAGGTTCGCAACTACGACTCTTTCCGATATAATCTCTTAGGCTTATTGGATTTTAAAATACATAACTCCCGCATTAATAAAAATATTAACTAAAGCTTTAAAGAGTTAAGCCAATCAGGAATTTTCAAGAAATGACGCTTAGAGCACACTTTAGGATCTTTAAAAAAATATATACTATAACACTAAAAAAAAGTTGCCCCGTTCAATCAAAATTCTCAAAGTTAGGCAACTTTTTAGAGCTCTAAGGCATACTTTTATTAAATATTGTAGTTTTAATATTGCATACAGATGTTTTGACTCCTACGATTTCAGGATTCGGTTTTCACAATTTCGGGATCCCGAAAATTTTTCTGGTCTAGAAGTCTTTTTGAACCCGAAAATATGTTTGCTTTGAAAAATTTTGAATATTCCTTAATATTATTATGGTGGCTTTATGAAAATTATATTTTAGAATTTGATAATTTGGGAAGAATTTAAAAATATAGAACAGTCCATGGGTTAAAATCAATTTTGGCATATTCCAGGGGTAATAAAAATGAGTATGTTTACATATTTATGTAGATATAAAAATGTATAAACCCACCCTAATGTATATGTATATGTTGATTCATTGAATTAAACCTATACACATACAAAAACATACATATGTATGTGCAGTTTTATGTTCGACCGGCTTTTCGTGCAATCACATGGCCAATCCATCCAATCATCCAGCCATGGCGTTAATATTAACATTTTTATGTCGTTGAATGCCAATTTAATTCATCATCAGATGCATTTAGCATTTCTCCGACATAAACTCGTATTCGCCGATAATTCAATTCAATTGCAATCTGACGATCGATGTGCAACTGTGATTACAATTTCAAATTTTCGCTCCAGCACTTAGCATTTCGACAACTTTTTTTACTAGTTTTGTCCAGTTTTCGAAATACTTTCGCTTAGCAACCAACCATTTCTTATTTCTTATGCAAATCGCATTGTGCTGACATTTCTGGGCATTCGTCATTTGTCAGAAAAGTACATACTATGTACACTTCCCACATATATCACGTCGGGATAGGAGCAACCGCATACATATGTATATGTATCTGTCAAATATATATGTATGTGTTTTAGTAGAATGAATGTGTGTCGTTGCATTTTGTAGTTGAGTAATTGAGTTAATGAATTTTTTTAAACATCCGTTTAACTATCGGAGCCGAAGACGATCAGTTTCTTATATAGGACAAAGATGTTGTATAACAGGAATGCGTAGACATTCTAAGTTAGCCGATAATCAATTGAAGAATTTCAAATTGGTTTAGTAATACTACTATACAAACATATAACTGGGTTAGCTGAAGATGAGTCATTTCAAAGAGAGTTTGTGTGATTAATTTCATATCAATTTTTCAGTGGAAGCAGCGCATCTCCCAACTATTAAATAATATAGTTTCTCTAGTCGTAGTGCCTCAACTTTTAAAACCAATTCAATTTCTTCTTGATAGAAAATAAGGGCAACAGAGAATCCACACACCAGTTGAACTCTAGAAATTCCTAGGAAGCATGCTTTTTAAACGTACAGGTTGGTTGAAAAGTAAGTACAGCTTATCAAGTAATAGCACTCCTAGTTCCAAATTTTTTTTTTGCACACGTTTACAGTGGACTGAAGCTGGTTGTACAGCTCCAAAGCAGGTAAAGTCACAACGATCAGCAAAGAAGGTTATGACATCAATTTTTTTGGAATGCAAAAGGAATTTTGTTGATTGATTATCTGCAGAAAGGTAAAGCAATCAACTCTGAATATTATTGCAACCTTTTGACCTGGTTTGCAGCACAAACAAATCATTTTTCATCAAGACAATGCAACTGCTCACAAAGGTGTTTTAACAATGATAAAATTCAACAAATTAAAACACGATTTGGTTGAGCATTCACCGTATTCACCAGATTTGTCTCCCAGCGACTACTACCTCTTCAGAAACCTGAAACATTTTCTTCGTGAGAAGCGTTTTTCGTCGAATGAAGAAGCTATTACAGCCGTAGAGGGCATTTTGTAGAGCTTCCAGAAAGTCATTATAGGGATAGCATATAATTATTGGAGGATCCTTGGTATGAGTGTATGAAAGTTGAGGGAGATTATGCTGAATAAAAAAATTTATTTCGTACCAAAAACAGTATTTTTTCATTTCGAGCGTAGAAACTTTTCTACCAACCTGTATTAACCAAATCATATCTCACTTACAGGAATGATAAAACATTGAGATGAGGCTCTCTTTTTTTTAGATATAATATTTTTTCTATGCTTATACTTTTTGAATATCTGCAGTATGTACCTATTGTAAAAGATAACGATCATGCCGAGTATAATGAAAATTCCATTTCGTTTTAAGAGAAACTGTTGTCTTAATGCAATAGCAATTCCTTTTTCGTTAAATGGAGCACGATCTCGTTTTTCAAACAATCAAGGTACTCGACGAAAATTATTCTAAGAAAATCTTTCCATGCTTTGGAGTGAATTTCGTAGTAAAGTATTGGAACCATATTTAATCCATTGTCGAATTTCGTCAGAAAAACCCGGATTTACTATGTTACTATGATTTACCAACTCTAAACACTGCTCAGTATTATTAATTCGTTATTGTTTTGAGCAACTGTGCTCTGGCACGGCCCCCTTATACATTGTGTGTAACGATTTGACTCATTAGACAGTAACAGTCTCATTTGGACGTCAAACTATGGTTATCGGTTTTTTGTGAATTAAGCAACTTTAGCCACTTTTTGGTATAAGCAGCATTTTTTCCACAAAAAATGTTGTCTTAAAAGTGGTCGAAAATATGCCAATAACAAACCTATTTCAACTACAAGTTAAAATGTTGAAGAAATAGACAAAATATTTTTTAAAAATCGTCGAAACGTCGAATCGTCATAAGAAAGAATTCTTATGATTTAAGCATGAAGTACGTGTCGATGAAGTTGTTTTCCAAATAGACTCCTAAGCTCACTGAAGCCTTTTAATTACGTCAATAACCACCCTGTTTAGCTTAATATATATGATATATAATATGTTGGTTCTTACGCATTCACGTAATAGTCCGAACCTGGCATCAATTGATCACTACCTGTTCCTGTCTAAGGCATATGATTTTGCTGGTGAAAAATTTGCCAAAGAAAATTGTAAAAATCGGCTGTCCCCCAGTTGACAATAGAGACAAGGGATTCTATTAAAGAGGCATTATGAAATTACCTTCAGAATGGCAGCAAGTTATGGATCAAAACGATGCATCTTTTACCCAAATCAGTTAATTCTAACTATACTAAATAAAAATTTAAATTTAATGCAAAAATTATGGATTTCCTTGCATTTGACGAAAATTAAAAATCAACTTACTTTGAACTAAAATTAGACAGAAAGCTTTCTTATTAGCGCTAGATCTTCAGAAGTCAAAGCTCCAAACGTAATTTAAATTGGGTAAACAAGTCATACAGTTCTGTAGCTGTTCTGAATTGGTATAAATAAGTTTTTTTAAGTACACAAAATTATATCACAAACCACTGTGGCCGGCGACAAATATTGTCGAAAGAAAAATTCACAAAGAGTGGAGCATAAAAAAACAGTTGATAACAGTAAAGCTTTTACTCGCATAGACATATGAGAAACTGAAACTGAGAGTATTCAATGTACATAGTTGCAAAAAATGCAACAAATAAAAGAAAGAGCGAAGCAAAGCAAAAAACTTAAAAAATCTCTTTGCCAACAAGTGATTGGTTTTGAATATGCATTTGCGAGTAAGTCAATATAATATGTATAGTATATGTAAATAACATAATTTGGTCTGATAAGAAATTTTCTAGCAAATCATTAATCGCCAGAAAGATTAGTTGGTAATTAATATTAATTTCCTACTAACGGTTAAATACTTCAGAGAGAAAGAGAGAGTATCAAAAACAGGTTCCAAATAAATAAGCTGCTACGCGTATCTAATCTAATAGTTCAAACAATCACCGACATTCCTCCCTTCCGTACTTACCACCCCTATCAAACCAAATTTGTCAAACAGTTATTCTCTTGTGTTTTCTTTTCACCAATATTGCTATTGTCTATTTATATATACGATTTTTCACACATTTAGTTTTTTAGTTATAATTTTTCATAATGTAAAAGCTCAAAACTAAAATCCAACTATTAAAAATAGTTTACTTATTTATAAATAAATGTATTCGACTGTGATTTAGAGTTATTTTAAAAATATTTCAAATATATTCAAATTTATTTTTTAATTAATACAAAATATCGAGATTGACAACCCTGCGTTGCAAGGGATTGCTCTCTCACTCTCAGCTCACTCATTTTTACGGACGGTAGAAGCGGTGGTGAGTGTTCATTTGCATTACGCTCTCATACTTGTAAGATAGGTCGTATCAGCTGACGTACGGAAGGGAGGAATGTCGGTGACTGTTTGAGCTATAAGCGTTAATAGCTTTCTCTCAACACTCGTGGTGGCTAATGAAACGTATAACTCAAGGCCGGAAGTATTGGAATGACAGCTGCATAAGCTAGTTTTTTTTTTATCTAAGATGATGCAAACTTTAACAATTGATTTTTATCAAATGAAATGCGTAAATAAAAATAGGTTTCAAAACCATTGAAGAAACGAAAAGCTAGTTATTGTAAAAAATTTTCAATTCCTCTTCTTAGCTTATAGATATAATTTTTATAACTTTTATGAAGGCTTTAGAAGTATGAATTTTTTTGTGTTTTCCCAAACCGAAATACCACCTACTAACCAAACAAGACATGGTATCCTCCATGGCAATTCTCGTTAACATAATCATAACGGTAAATTTTGAGTTATGAAATTTTAAAAATGAATTTACCAAACTGTCAACGGAAAGAGGCACGCCGCAAAGCTATTATTAGTTAATAAGCGAAACACAACGAAAAGCGGACGCAAAATGAATAATATAGTGAACTTTAAAAACATAGAAAACTCGCGAACGATACTTTCAAGGTTGATACATGAACAGATGTTTGTGCAGTGCTACGAATACGCTTATGGTGGGACACAGCGTTGAAGCATAGTAAAGCGTGTGACATCGTCTTTGAAAGAAGGAACAAGTGCTGTGTAGTGCCATCAAAATAATAATACGAAAAATAATATTAAATATTATTAAAAACAGTAAATAAACATTGCATATTTAAATATGCTAAAAGTAATCTCAGGCATTAAATTGCCAATCGCAGCTGGGTGTTATGTGAACAGTGGTGGCATTGCCGCTCGCACTTTTGCAACCGGTCAAGCGCTGAGAGATCAACATGAGTAAGTAAATACATATGTATGTACGGAGATGTAAAGCCAACTGTTAGTTGTCAAATTGGGGTATTCACTAACTTGTAGTTAGAGGAATAATAATTTAGCCCATTAGCAGTGATTATTTTGAAATAAATATAATTGAAATTTGTGGAGCAGTCCAACTTCATTTCTAGGTAGAACTGGAATTGCACTAAATTTAAATATAATATTTTAAAAATATACGAAATTGTTAGCAAGTATATTAATAACTATTACAAAATTAAAAAAAAAAAAATTTTAGTACGCTGGGAATTGAACACGGGCAAATAGTTTTCGGTTGCGTCATATCATAAATATTATAAAAGTGAATTCAAGCAAAGGTTTAACGAACACTCTCAAATCCCCAGAGACAACTCTGCATTCTTCTGTTAACCAGCATATACATACTTAATACTTTTAGTAGCGCAGATAACTAGAAATTGCAAGTTATTAATTTTATGGCTAAAATATATATGGATATAATATATGCTTGTTATATTTAATTAAGTGCCGGCGAACACATATTTTGCGACCGCTCAATATTGAGATAACGTTCACAAATGCACATATAAATATATATGTTAATTAAAATAAAGTTGAAAGAAGTCATACCCTGCAAGAAAAACGAGAATTATGAAATGTTGAATTTAAAATTAATAACAAACCGAAATTTCAAAAGGTTTATATCTTTATATCGTCTCTTTAGATGACCTTCCCTCTTAACATGTTTGTTTCAAGCTTCTCCGTCACTTAGATCAATAAAATTTGTTTTATAAAATGCTGAAAAGTTTCGTTTGTTGTAAAATTTTCACACTATGGAGATTAAAAAAAAATATATATATATATATGTATATATCGTATTGTTGTTTTTCTTCCTTTATTAAGTTTCCTATCGAATAGCGCAACAATGTTCTGAAATATTTGCTCGCAACAGAAGTTTGCGTCTTTTGTGCGCGGATATCAATTGCACATACATACATATGTTTCTCATTACGCATTATTATTTCTAAAATCTCAAATGTCGTTAGTTTTGAATAACATTTGCATTTAAATGACTTCATACTTGCACTGAATCAAGATATAACAACAACAGGCTTATACTAAACACCATGGGCGAGAGAGGGGCGAGATTTTCTCCCGGGCACGGAGTTCTGAGGGCGGCCCGGTGCTTTGCAACAATTTTTTGCAGATTTTTTCTCCAACAAATTATGGATTAGGAGCCAGCATCTTACATCCCCCCTGGTACCGGTATGCTTTGTACGGCTCTGACTGACTGTTAAAAATATAATTTAATAATACCTCTTAACCAAGAGCAGATATTTAATAAAGCTGCTAAATATATGAAAATTATCTTTAGTCAAAATTTATGGTATAATACATCAAAAAAAAAAAAAACATTATTACTTAATAAAATTAATAATGTAAATATATAATTATAGTAAGAAAGAATTCAGAAATACTTTTTTATTAGAAACTAAATACTTGAAAATCGTTTTAACCGGAAAATCAGTTACTGCTGACAATTATCTTTCTATGGATGTACTTAAATCCATATATAGATACTTATCAAAATACATGGGCTTAAATGGATCAAAGGTATCAGATCCAACACTTCAAAGATAACGATCAACTTAGAATAGATTCAATAATGGCAAATATTATAGAAGCTAGTAGGAATTTCTATTCACAAACTAATTTTATTGTGAATATAGTAGGGAGCGACCACCAATTAAAGAAATAAACTAAAATAGATTAAACTCCACCATATCCAGATTTAAAATATAATTGATCTACAAGCAGTTAATCTTACGCCCCATTTCCTATACTCCGACCGCGTCGAAACCATTCGTTTCTTGAATATCCCGATAAATCTTGAATATCTCCAAAATCTTATGTATTATATATTTCGGCTGCTCAACTCTATTTTTTGCTATAACTGTTCAATATTAATTTTTTTTTTTAATATTTATATAAAATAAATTCGCAGCTGTCAAGTATTGATTGTCGGTGGTGGTTCCGGTGGTTGTGCCCTAGCGGCGAAGTTATCTTCGAAATTGGGAAAGAACAAAGTAACCGTTGTGGAGCCAGCAGAGGTACGTACTCCGCCTTTTAAAGTCAATTACACTGTGTTCCATATATTATATAATATTTTAAAAATCTTTTGTACAGCGTCACTACTACCAACCAATGTTTACACTTATTGGAGGTGGCATGAAACGATTGGAGCAATCGTACAAACCGATGGCAGAGGTGTTACCGAAAAACGTCAACTGGATCAAGTCAGCGGCTGTGGAATTCGATCCGAAAAATAATACGGTGAAAACGGCAAATGGCACGAATATCAAATATGATATGTTACTAGTGGCAACAGGTCTGCAGTTAAACTATGATAAGGTAAGTGGTAGGAAGTATAAGGCTTGATTTCTACGAAATATTTTTAAAAGCTAAATGTTGAGTTGAAGCAAACAGTGTGCGATGGCTGATCGGTTTTTAGTTTTTCTGTTTGGTATGAAGTTGAAGTTAGTATTAGTAGAGTTGATAATAAAATGTAAATGTATGATTTGTATTGGTAAAGTATATTGCAGGTGATGACATAAATTTTGAGTAACCGCATTAAAATAAACTTAAATTTCCCCTATTTCATCTCCTACTCAATGATAATCTCAACAGATACCCGGCTTAGTTGAAGCGCTTTCGATAACAAATGGCAAAGTTTGTTCAAATTACTCACCCAAATATGTGGATCGTACCTATGAGTGCTTGCAAAACATACAGGGTGGCAACGCTATTTTCACATTCCCCGCTTCACCCGTTAAATGTCCGGGAGCACCGCAGAAAATTGTCTACATTGCCGAGCACTATTTCCGCAAGGTAAATACACTGAAAGAAAAAAGAAAAGTGTGAATCATAAATTTTATATAATTAATACATTCACAGTTGAATAAACGCAATAAAATAACAGTCACATATAATACATCGTTACCAGTCATTTTCGGCGTGAAACACTATGCCGATGCGCTGTGGAAAGTTGTGGAGAAGCGCGATATCAAAGTCAATTTGCGACGAAACTTAATTGAGGTGCGACCACAGGAGGATATCGCAGTGTTCCAAGACCTCGACAAACCGGAGCAGATTTTCGAGGAGAAAGTACGTATAAATATACACAACTATATCCAAAAAACATAATCACATTAATAATGCTAATATACTTTAGTATGGTCTGCTGCATGTCACGCCACCGATGAGCACACCAACGTTCTTGGCGCAGTGCAAGGAATTGGTGAACGAGACCGCATTTGTTGATGTGGACAAATCGACGCTGCAACATCTGCGATATAAAAATGTTTTTGCAATCGGTGACTGTTCGGCATCGCCCAACTCAAAGACTGCCGCTTCAGCAGCCGCCCAATCGCCTGTCGTGTATCACAATATGATTGCTGCCCTGAAGGGCAAAGCAATGAAGCGCACATATGATGGCTACGCCTCGTGTCCGCTGGTCACCGGCTATAGAAGTTGTATTTTAGCTGAATTCGACTACGATCTGAAGCCATTGGAGACATTCCCGATCGCGCAGAATAAAGAACGCTACTCAATGTTCTTTTTGAAGAAGGCCTTAATGCCTACGCTCTATTGGAAAGTGATGCTGAATGGCTACTGGAACGGTCCAGCGCTTATGCGTAATGCCTTGTCTGTATTTAAATTCGGCAAAAAGTGAATGTGACGATACACGATAAATATACATAACTTATATGGCTTATAAATGTATTTGTGAGGAGTTAGCTGCAATAAATGGTAAGCGCCCGTTTAAAAAACGCAAAATATGAATACAATTTTTTTTTTCATTTTACTGCAAATCTGTAAGTTTGTAATTTAAATATGTATGTATTGTATATATTTCAGCAACGCCAAAAGTCAGCACTGCAATTTAAGCAAGTTAAAGAGGTCCAACTTACAGAGGCGGCCTCTGGAAGTAGCAAGGTTAGGAAACTATACATGCCTCGACATTTCCCGAAATTTTAATGTAAGGAGTAGCAGTATCATTCCAAGGATACTTGGTGACACTGCTTTAAAATCGATTGATTCCAGAAATTTTTTTATAAACGAGCGAATAGTAGGCCACTGATCTGTCAATATTATGCACATATTTATATCTAATAGAAATACAGTGTTGGAGTTCTTGACAAGTGCGATAGCCGCACGGAGCTCCAACATTTATGTATATACAAACTTTTAAGATACACTGGGTGATATATTTTTTTTCATAGAATTAGAAATAACTTTCTATCAATCTTATGATAAAGACCAAGGTTGCAAATAATACATTAAAAAATAATTAAATTAAGATTTATATAATTTTTTGTTTTTGTTTTTGTAAGCTCAAAAATGTTTTAATTTTAAAATAAATTTTAAATTATTAATCCCAAATCCTGTATTGGAAAAAAATTGTAATCCCAAAAATGGGATAAAAAATTTATTAAAATACCGTATAGAAAAAAAAATTTTAACTAAAAATTAAAAAAATAAATCTTTAAGAATTTAAATTTTTTCGCGTTTGCGTACTTCGTTTTCTACCAGTTTGGTAATATTTTGAAAAGGTAAGCTTATTTTTAATAAAATATTAACATCGTTTAGCTCTTTTTATCTTTATTATATGTATTAGTTTTTGCTTTTAATTATAATGTTTAAGTTAAAAATATGTAACTTTTTCCATTTTATCCATTTCCATTCTAGCTTTTAATTTGAAAAATATTTTTTGTAGTTATTACCCCAGCATTTAAAATAGAAACTAATTTCTCAGTTTTTTGTACAAGATTTTTGGGATTAAAATTATAATCTTTTTAATTTTCATTGTTGAATTAAAAAATTAAATTTTAAAATTTTAATTTTTATTATTATATTAAAAAAAAGTTTAATCCCAAACATCCTGAATTAAAAATGAAACTTACAATTTTTTATCCCAAGATCGGAACTAAAAATTTAAAATTTCTTTTTAATCCCAAAATTGGAATTGAAAATTGAAAATCTATTTTTTAATCCATAATTTTTTATTTGAAAAATTCACAACTCTGATAAGGACTATATTTTCAAATTTGCATATGCATATGTAAAATTGTTAAAATAGAAAAAAATTGGTTATTAAATTCTATAAAAATTACTTTCAGTTTTAGAACGATATTCTCACAAACACCTATCAGCATTATGAATTGACACACAATCAATATATTTTTCCACATTTTATATATGCATGTGTGCTAGTGTTTCCAGAATTATTTTACAATTATAATTCAGATTTTAATAGCTTAATACACGCACACGGCTGGCAATATAAGAAATGCAGACCGATTATAAAATACCTACAGAAATACTCACAGGTACTGTGTAATCAAAAAAAAAAAAATCAATATATTAATTACCAAGCCTTAATTAAGTAGGGCGGTATTTAGTCAGGGCGGAAGCTAGATTGAAATTCGTTTTTTGTCAATTAAGATAAGTAAATCCAAAATATTCGGTAACTAATTAAGTAGAGTGGAATTATTATGTAAAAACATCTCAACCAATGCTTAAGGGGGTCCTCTACACTTACACCTCAAATCCGAGCGTATTTTTGAGAAATGATTCCAGAGGATATATAAAACATATTAAGACACATTTTTTATTTAATTGATACATTCATCGACTTTCATGAAAGATTATTGGAAATTAAAAGATTTAATCCCCTGCCCTTGGAAGGTCCTTGTCCATAGGTCTCACTGTTGTCACACTTCGGGCATTGGAATTGTCTGTATACAAAAAATATTTTTTCTTGATCATTTTTAACTTGAGTCTGTTTCGCCGATATTTTTCATTTTGAAATATGCAATTTTATATAAAAAATTTTAATTTAAAAAAAAATTTAAAAAGTAGTGGTTTTGTACCAACTGCGCAGCTAACAATCGCAATGTTTGTCTTCTATCCATTTGTATTCTATCAAACTGAAAATATTTTTAAAATAAGGGAAAGTTGTGCAGCTTTCCATACTACTTTTGCTATTGTCTGTCATTTACAAATTTGGATCTGAATAAGTTCGAAATTAATCGCGATAAACGCTGCCGTGTCAAGGCTATAACTCACATTTACCTTAATACTACGGCTATCTTTATCAACCAAGCTTCAATTCTAAAGCCCTTTCCTTTTTGAAATTGCTTGTTTACGACTATTCAATAACAATCTGACAATTCATTGCGGTATTTTACACGAGCACCATCTGTAGGTGATATATATCAACTAATTCATAATTATCACATTAAATGTTTGTGAATGGTTTGTAAAAGCAACCCTGTTTCAGCTGAAATAGCGCGTCATTCGAATGACAGCTCATGTTCAAAATAACTGAAAGGCACAAGGACTCGAAAATTTTCAGTTTTTGTTTAATGGAATAAAAAATACATAATTCGATTTGATGTGTTTTTCAATAAATATTCTACGCTGCAAATAGAAAATATAAGAATTCCCATACGAAATCACAATGAAGACTATGTAAGTTGACTGATAATTGTGCTAATGTGAATTAATACGTATTTTCCTTTAAGCGCTCGCACGCCATTGCGTCCACCAAAAACGCCACGTTGTCAAACCCATCATAATGAGCGTAAATCTGACCATGATCCCAATAAGCCTCGTGATCCTGTGCATGTTTATTGTCGCGTACGACCATTGCAATCGGATGCGGATTTGTCCTGTGTGCGGGTAAAAAACTCAACTACCGTGGTCTTAACGCCACCAGATCAAGCCTTGCAACATAAACAAGGAGCACATCGTGAAATGCAGTATATTTTCAAACATGTCTTTGAACCACACATTTCACAAAATGATGTATTTAATGCTGTAGCACAACCGTTGGTTGAGAATTTAATACGTGGGCGAAATAGTCTACTATTTACTTATGGTGTCACTGGGAGCGGCAAGACGTACACAATGACAGGAGATTCTCGTCATCGCGGTATTATGCCACGTTGTTTAGATGCACTGTTCAAAACAATATCAGACTATCAAGCAAAGAAATATATTTTCAAACCTGACAAATTAAACGGATTTGAAATATTGTCTGAAGCAGACGCTCTACTTGAACGACAGGCAGAAATGAATAGGCGTTTTGCAGCGGGAGAGCGCAATGCATTACGGCGTAAAGATTCTGATCCTGAAATAGCTTCACAAGCCTCATGTGATGCAGCCCCCTTACAGGGACTTGAAGAAGATAATATGTTCGCAGTTTTTGTAACATACATTGAGATTTATAATAATAGTGTTTATGATCTGCTCGAAGAAGATGCACCTCAGAAGTAAGTTATTGCTATAATTAATTAAATATAATTTATATGTTTTACATTTTCTTTTATTTTTAGAACTTTGCAAAGCAAAATTATTCGATCAGATGCCAGTCACAACATGTTTGTACACGGTGTCACTGAAATAGAAATAAAATCAGTTGAGGAAGCTATCGAGGCTTTCCAATTCGGTCAGAAACGTAAGCGTATGGGTCACACAGTGCTAAATGCAGAATCAAGTCGTAGTCATTCTGTATTTAATATACGTTTGGTACAAGCGCCAACTGATTGTCAAGGAGAGCATGTTGTACAAGATAAACGCACTATTGTAGTTAGTCAGCTATCACTAGTCGACTTGGCAGGTAGCGAACGTTCATCACGTACAAAAAATACGGGAATGCGTTTGCGCGAAGCCTCAAGCATAAACAATTCATTAATGACGCTACGAACATGCCTGGAATATCTACGCGAGAATCAACAGGCGCCTCTAAATAGTGCACCCAAAAAGATTCCATACCGCGACTCAAAACTCACACATATGTTTAAAAACTACTTCGACGGCGAGGGACAAGTGTCGATGATTGTGTGTATCAATCCGCGCGGTGAGGATTATGACGAAAACACGGTAAGGCATAAAAGTAGAGGATATTTTCAAATTATGCTTTCAATGCATTGAAAGTTTTGTGTTTTTGGTATTTTGAGATATTTATTCTATTAATAATCGTTAATACTTTGTATATTCAGCAAGTAATGAAATTTGCCGAGATGACACAAGAGGTTCAGATTGCTCGCGCCACGCCCATCAAACCAGATCTTGGCTTAACTCCCGGACGTCGAAAGGCAAACAAGCTCTTCAAAATAGCGGTGAACAATCTTAATGACTTAGGGCATACAGAAGCGAACAAACTGGATGTGGATATTGGTTTGGTGTACTCATTGGGACCCGGTTTTCCGGATTACAAAATCGATAGTCCCGAAGCGCAGACTGCCATACAAGAGTTGATGCAGTATTTAATGCAGCGCATAGAAAAACGAAAAATTTTGTGCGCCGATTTAGAGACTCGTTGTGATAATTTCAGAGGACATTTGATGCAAATGGAGCGAGAGAATTTACAGTTACGTACGGAATTGGCATCACTAAAAACTGTTTACAAACAAGAACGAGATCGCATGATAGCCATGGAGAATAAATTACGCGTACACGAGAGCTCAATTGATGAACTCAACAACAAATTGGGTAATCGTGAAAGACAGATAGATGAACTTACCAGAAAATTAAGAGATCAACAGAATCTGCTCAATCAAAAAGAACAGGAAAAAGAGAAACAAAAGAAGAAATTCACTTCTAAATTAGCGGTGGAGGTGGATAAAAAAGATCGTGAACTGGAGATAAGATTACGCGAACAGCGCGACAAAATGCGCCAAAAGATGCGCGTGCGCGATGAAAAACTACGTCTCGTATCCAATATTATACAATCGGAGGATATACCCAGTCTGGTGCGTCGCAATAGCAATGATGATATTTTGGACAATAAAATGGCGATTTCAGAGCCACCATCAGCCACGCGTAGCGAATCGACACAAGTGCATAGCGCACGCACTGAAATATATGCCACACCACGCCATGTAAGGGTAAGTGTGCAAATAACATTATTATTAATATACAGGAAACTATCAATTATTTATCTATTCGATAGGGCATGGCTGCAGCTAACAACAGACATCGCCGTTCACGTTCGGCCGGCGAAAAGTGGATCGAACATCGTGCACAGAATCCTGTGCCACTTGGTACTATTCTACAACCGTATCTAAAGAATCGTAAATCTGTAACGAAACTAACCGACGCCAAAGAGTTGACGAATCACAAGAACACCAAATACTGTCTTGTTTCACAAGAGGCCGACACTGACGGTGATGTTGAGACCAAGCTCTACAAAGGCAATGTTATACCAACATGTGGCGGTGGAGCACAAGTTGTATTCGATGATGTGGAGTGTTTGAAGCAAAAGTCACCGGTGCCATCGCCAAACCGCAAGCGTCCAAGTAATGGTGGCGGTGCAACTCTTAGTGGTTTGGGTGGTGCAACCTCGTCGGCAATGTCGGCGGCGGCGTTCAGTGGCGGCACAAATGCTGCGCAAGAGTTAATGTCGCGGTGTAGTGTTGGCATCGAAGGTCATAACAATAAACGCACCAAAGTGTAGAATGATTAACCAATCGTCCCTTGGTAACTACGATAATTATGATGACGATATACCATCACTTTGTATTAAATTTATTTTTTAATTATTATTTTTAACAGTTACCACAGTGAATAGTTTAATCCCCCCCCTCATATATTTGCAGAGATATTATTTAGTTTCAATATATTGTGGTATTAATGATTCTAATCGTTGTTTACTTAATTAATCTAACAAAAACTGGCTGAACGGTATTTTCTTGTATTTCTTTTTTGTTATTACATTTACTTTTAAACTTCGTATTATATCACGATATTATACATATTATTTGTAACAAAATATATACTCGTCAAACCAATGTATTTGCAAGCTTTTAAAACTGCAAGCAACGAAGTATTTTGAAATAGAAAATAAAAATGAATTTAAAACAAAATAATGTAATATTATTGGTGGTTTGGAATACTAGAAAATGTTTTCCTACATGCACGGTCTTGTATCTGTATATTTTATATGATCGAATTTGATCCGGACTGCAAAAAAAAAAAAAAAACATTTTCGCGAATTTTTATGAAAACCGTTACTATCGTCTGAGTTACGGTAATATTAAGTTTGTAACGCACGGAAGGAAACAGCGGATACCCTATAAAAAAAAAAATATATATATAGTAATGATCAGCGTGACGGGCTGCGCTGATATTTTTATGCCTCTCTGTCTGTCTGTACATAAAAAAAAAGTTGTACCAATCTACGAAAGATTTGTTTATAAATTCGGTTTGCACTGGGCAAATAGACCATTTCAAGTCAAACTTGATCACATGGCAGATGCAGCCAAGAACTGTCACCTGAGCTGCAGCATTCCCCTAAACAACAACTAAAGCCTTATGCTGCTAACAAAAACAATAAATACGAGAATTTCAATCTTTGTATATTGAATAAAACTGCAAACATGTATATATATTTTGTTTACATTTACTGTATTTTATTAATCAATTTATGAATTTATTGCGATTATAGATATATGTATGTATTTGTTTTGCATTCCATTATAGTATATATGCAATTAATTTGTTTTTAGAGGTTTTAGTATATTAATTATTGGATGCTTTACACTAATAGCTGATACGCTTGCGCGCGCGCACAAATCAAGCAAACAACAAGCAAGCGTCTGTGGCGTCCCAAACGAGTGGCGTCGTGATGAAACGATGAAATAATGAATTGATGATCAAATGCATGCTTCGTCACTATATGAAACTATATTTATTTGTATTTATATGTATGTATATATGTACGCTTTAATATACTGATTATGTTTTGTGGTGAGAAGCCAACACGTTTTGTTGTTTGTTGTTGTTGTTTTTTTTTTTTTATTTCGCTTCGCTTGTTGCTGCTGCTGTTGTTTTTATGCGACGGCAAAATTTTTGACCTGAACTTTTAATGCATTATTTGTTTTTCATTCTTTTCGCATCGTTTTTGTTTTGTTTTGTTTTCTTATGCTTTTTGTTATACTTAAACTGATACAGTAATGTTATTAAAATATAGATTAGTTACTAATAAATCAGTCTATAATTAAAATTTAATATTCAATTGTTTGCTTCTCTTTTATGCTTCACTTAATATATGTATTCTATACGCACGCACACACGCATACACACACACACACACACAGACAGTTACAGACAGACAGATAAACATGAATGGGCTACGAGCGAACGAGCTTGCACATGTCATTCCACGTGACTTATAATAAACGAATATAAAATAAGATAATAATTTCATTAAAAACCCAAAACTCGAAGGTTTTGCTTATACTTATCAAAACAAATTTCAAAGGCTTAATAGTCATTTATATATATATGTAGTATGTATATACTCTAGCTATCATGCATTGTGAGGCGTTGCCTATGCATGTGTGCGTTGCTACACAAATTCACAAATCTTATACATTCAAACTTATGCTCGTGTGTACGGTTGTATCTTCTTCGATTCTTCGATTACTAGCTGCGATAGGTTTGCATTTTTTTGTTCAATTTGTTTAGCATTTAGTTTGCTCTATATATGTAAATATGCTTTCGGATTTTCTTTGCAGAAAATTTGTGTGAAAATTCATATGCATGGCAATATTCGTGGCAAATATACTTATTTTAAAATGTAACAAGCCATATTTGAAATTAATCAACTAAAGATGCTGACAGCGTTGCCTTAATAAGGTGTTGTGTTTGTTTCTTAAACGGACTATAACAATTGCGCGTTTGCTCTGAATGCTATGAACGAAGCTAACAAATCGTGAAAATACAAATTATTTTAATAATAATAATTGGAAAAAAAAAAAAATACTACCTAACAACTGTATGTGAATGTTTGGTTTGATAACACAATTTAAACAAAACTATTAACGTGATGACTCTTAAAACTTGAGTTGTTTAAAAAAAAAAGCAAAACAGAAATTTACTAATTTTTTTTTGTAACAAATTACGCACCACCAAACCCACAACGAAAAACTGTGCGATAAGGTGGTTTCTGTGGAAGAACATAATTTTCAATTGAAAGTTTCTAAATAAAATCGTTTACAATTACTTCAATACGCATGAGTATGCTTGAAATACTTGTTGTTCGCAAACTGCTAGTGCTTTTAAGCTTTGCCAACAACATAAAAAGGTTTAACAGTACAATAGTAAGGGGAAAAGAGAAAAATAATAAAAACACAAGTGAAACGATAATGCACAAAATCTGCATATAGAAATATATATGTATGTAACTGAGTGTTGAAGTATGAAACATGTAAATAGTACAACAACTCCAATTGACATTATTTTACAATATAAGTAAGTGGGTAGGTATGTTTATAATCGCAAACCAAATCGCTACGCATACTCGTACATGATAAGATTATAAAGCTCTCATTATTAATATGATCTATATTGTTACGATTTATCCACGATTTTCAACAGACGAATTCGTTTAAAATGTGTTAAATTCAAACTCGATAACTTAAATTAATTGAAATATGTAAACATTACAAATACAAATTAGTTGTACTACTAACACAAAATATATGTGTATAAATGTTTTTGAATTTCTTCTTGTTGTTGTATGTGCGAATATGTAAAACGAATTACCAAAATTAAATTTTCTAAACTCTACATCTTTTTGCTCCCTTTTTGTTCTACACGCGATTATAATGGTACAGCGTTTTGCTCCTTTTTTACATGCGTTTGCAACGGTATACATATGTATAACTGCCATATTTCTTCGAGCTAGACACAATTTTAGCGACTTAAGCTATACCCAACTGGAAGATATAGACACTGAATTTGCATTACTGCATAATAAATGAATTTTAAGTTCTCTACTAAATTAATGTTAATCTTAAAAAATTTAAACAAGTTATGCTTAATATTTAGAGCCAAGTTTGTATGCACATCCTCCGATTGGGTACCGCCCTTCTCATTATTACCAATTATCATATGTGAATTGCAGCAGATAATTTCGCTCCTAGTTTCAAAAGCATCTGGATTATATCTGTACACTCAATTTTTGTTGTCGCCATTTCTTTAACATGACATCAGGGTAAACCATTATTTTCGTACTAAACTTACGACGTTAAATTCCAGTAGTAAGTTGTAGGACGCTCGTGTGCATGACATTACAAAATTTCAGCGCTTTGGACAATTTCAACGAAATCCGTATACATACATACTCGTACATATGACTCGTGTTTTGCTTTTGTTTTTGTTTACACATGCTGCAATTGTGAATTACTGCTCCTTAGGTGTAGTATTTTTAATTAGATGTAGTATTTATTTGCAGCAAATCTGTTGTCACATTTTCTATGAACATTTCACACAAGCTCCTTCTACATCAAAGTCCAAAACCATTAGTTTGGTTTCTTCCGTACCGTTACGCGAACCAACTGCGCATATTAATTTCGTGTCGTTCGCTCTAAAAAAAAATCACCATAAATACCATTAAAGTTGAAATATTTGGATAATGAAAAACTCGTTGGTGCTCGTTTCATACCTTATGCGCCAGACAACGCCACCGGAGCCGCCCGAATCTAATGCGACCAAATTACGTATGAAATCGCCAGTTTTCACATCCCACAGTTTCACGGTGCCATCATCAGAGCTCGTTACCACAAAACGTGAATTGAATTGCAAGCACGTTACAGCCGATTGATGTTTATTGGGACCTGAATTATTTACAATATATGTATATATGTTAGTAATATTACATTGTATAAATCAAACCAATTTAGGAGGGGGGAAAAAGGTTTGCGCTCACCTGACAAAGTTTGCAAGCATTGGCCTGTTGTGATATCCCATACTTTTACCGTGGAATCCGCATTGCCAGATACTAAAATATTCTGTCGCAATTCCATGCCGGATGTCAGACTTTGATGACCCATGAGTATGTGCTTCAAATTACCAGTCTCAACGTCCCAAACACGTATAGAGGTATCTAGCGAACCGGATACCACATGTATTCCGTCGAACTATAAATAGCAAATAGAGTAATATTAAATTTTCGTTAATAAACGATTGGCTACACAATATTTTAACAAAAAATAAATAATAAAATTTTCGAAGATAGATAATAGTAAGCATACGTTACCTGCAAGGAATAAACACGATTTGAGTGCCCAGAGAGGGTGTGTAGACATTCCTGCCGTTCGGGATGCCAAATCTTCACCATGTAATCGTAAGCTCCCGACACAATCAATTTGCCATCATATTGCACACAACGCACCGCCGCCAAATGACCCACCAAAACATGCAAACATATACCTTGCACAATATCCCAAACACGTAAAGTCGCATCGCGCGAACCACTGACGACCCTACAACAAAAAAAAAATCATTTAAATTTATTTGTGTTGCGCATTCAAGCAATTTCTAAATTAAATTAGTTCATACTTACTTATTACCGTGTAAATGCATACATCGCACTGTGGAGGTATGCCCCTGCAATGTGTGTAAGCATTGACCGGAATCCATGTCCCACACTTTCAGCGTACGATCGGTACTACCTGAGATTATTATATTGCCCGACATCTGTGAGGACCAGACGCCCCCAGTGTGACCGACCAGCGTGCGCAAACACTATAAATAAAATACATGAATGCAACAGCATTATTATTATAGATATAGATCATATAGCTATAATGCAACACTCAACTTACCCTGCCAGTCACAGCCGACCAAACCTTCAATGTATTGTCATCTGAGCCGGACACTATGCGATTGCCCGAAAATTGTAGACAAGTGATGACATGATCGTCGTGCCCTTTCAGAACTTTCGGTTCGCGTATTGGTCGTGAACGCCAATTCATTTCGATTATATGCTGGCGCATATATGCAGCTTTCCATGGTGAGGCAATTGGTGGCATATTGCCTGCGCGTCCGCGTTTCGGCCGATCCGTACGTGGCTCCGTGAGTATTTGCGCCTTGCGACATTTCTCTTTCCACAACAAATTGTCGTCACATAAAAAGCGCCAACTGCGACAAGTCTGCGCGGCACGCAGCAAATCTTTTGGATCCAAATAAGTGAGCACTTGTAATGCTAGCTCACGCGGCAGCAGTGAAATAAAATCGCGTTGAAATTGAGGTTCAATCACCTTCATCATGTGACGCACTTGTGTTGGCTCGCAATACTCAATCAGACGATCGATGGCCATCAGTCGCTCAACATGTGTCCAACGTTGAAATTGTGTCAGCCAATGCTGTAATTCAGGAGGTGGATTCTCACGTGTAGGTATGATGGAACGCGGTGTTCGACGACCAACTGGCGAGTTGTTGATGGCTGACAGCGGTACCAGTTGTGTTGAAGTTGTGGAGGGTTTAGCTACTAAAGCACTACAGTGGCGCGGCGTTAATGCAAAATCATAAGCTATACGCTTTCTGCCATTAAGATCGTCAATGTTGGCAGTATTACCGCTGCTGGATATTACTGCGCTGGCATTCGCATCCGGCAAACGGCTATCGTATTTTCGCTTACGCTGTTGAGCGTTAATGTGTGCACAGGTGGATGCATTTTCCGGGGTGTTGTTTGCGCCGCCATTGCCACCCACCTCCTCTGATATCGAAACCATTTGTATATAATTTGACAGATCACCATCTTTGGCTGTGCAGTTGGCACTGACATCGGCACCAGCAGCTGTCGAAGAAATGTCAGCTCCATCAATGTCCGTCTCGTTTAAGCTGGTATTGCTACCGCCGTGACTGCTATTGCTTGCGCTGCTACTGCTACTATGATTGCAAGTGCATATTTCCTCATCGGACGTGTTCTCGTCACAATCGGCCCATGAAGCTTCTTCATTATAGTCAGAAATAACTGCTTGAGCAGCAGCATGCGCTAACGCCTTGAAAGCTTCAAGAGACATATCGTCAGGAGGATTGGTTAGCTGAGCTGCAAATTCGGCGCGACGACGAAATCTTGCACTAGTTGGAAGGCCATTGACATTTCCAGAATCCTGTGAGCCAACAGAACGTCTAAGGTAACGTTCATTCGTTTGAGCGCTAGCGTGTACCTGACGCAAATTCTTCATGGACGGAGCATAATGACAGCGAGCAGACGAAGTTGAAGGTTGAGCGTCATCGAAAACAGGAATGACTTCGGCTTCTGTGGAAGCAGCAGCGAGCGCAGCATTATCTGCAGCTACTGCCACGGCGGCATGCATCGAACTGGTGCGGCTACAGCCTCCTACATCGGACTTATCAACTAATATATATGGTAGCAATTGTTGTTGTTGCTGTTGTTGCTGTTGCGGCTGCTGCTGTTGTTGCTGTCGCTGTCCACAATTGATAGTTGTTGATGTACTACTCATAAGACTGTCATTCGAATTAGAGTTTGAGTATATTTCCGCTCCTCCGCCGCCAACTGTGCAAGCCGCGGCGCCTGGCAATGATGAGGATGATGTCGATGTGGCAGTAGGTGCCTCTACAATTACTGAAGATGATGTAGACGAATATAATGTAGATGAAGAAGATGATGCCGTTGAGGAGGACGAAGAGGCAGATGTAGATGCCGACGAAACGGAATTCGTAAATGTATGGGAAGATGAAGTTAACGATGTCAGACTGTTTTTATTGCCAGTTTGTGTTGATTTTAGCTGTGTTTTGGAAATGTTGGCACCTTTGGTTCGATCCTGAAATGATTGTGCTTGCCGATGTAGGGGATGACTTAGAGAAGAGCACAAATTAAGTTTGGCAGTAGATTTGGTTAAACGACTGGTGTGAGGGCGACTACTCGTTGGCGTTGACGTTGGATCTTTGTAAGCGCACTGAAAAAAATAAACATTAATAATTATACACATATATAATATATACAAGTAATAAATACCTTGCTGTCAGATGAAACGGCACGACCAACACCGCTGTGACTACTATTATTTATATTGCTGCTGCTGCTGGGACAATCATCTCCCAACTCCAACTGATCCTGTTGGCCTCCTGAGTCTTTTTGCATACATGACGATTTTATCAGCCTTAAATTAAGCATGTTTTTCTTTGCGACTGTGCTGTTTTTCAAAATAATACCACCTGTCAATCGTTGTTCTTCCTCGAAATCGGTGCGTTCTATCGCATCAATCGTTTCGATATCAGCAATATGTGGCCTTGGTAATACTACAATATTATTTACGTTGCTTTTTGAACTGGAAGGACGTTCGCGTAGCTTTTCACTAGTCGTGTTGCTTATGTTCATTTTTTTCAGTCGAAAAGACATGCGATCAGGAAGTATTTCATTGCCATCAAGCCCTAAAAGTGCTGTTATTACGCTAGATTTAGTTTCGCCGTTTGTATTTCGAGTATTTTTTTCATCGATTTTGCCAAATGGTTCTGCCTCATCTGTTTGCATAAATTCATCGCTCAGACGTTTGGGTTTTCCTGTCTTCTCACCAAACTCGCTTTTTTGATCACCACCAATATTATTTAGCTGAGCATGATGTTGATTTTGTTCCTCAACCACTGGTGTTTCAAGATATATTGTCGCACCGTGTCCGTTCGTCACAATAACACTGCCCATTTCATTGCTCAATTGACTATTAGTACTATTTGTCGAAAAACGATTGTGTTCATGCTGATTGGAATTATCTTCCAAACAATATTGATTCACAACATTTTCAATTGCAGGCGCTGAAGATACATCTTCCACTTCCGCTACTTCACTTTCCGGCTCAATACCTTCATCATCGTCATCATCATCATCATCATCATTTATTACAAAAACTTCAGAGACATCGAAAAATTTCTTATTGGTGCATGTTGTGTCGTCCGACACACCCACCAATTTAATTGTATCGGTAGAAGAGCTGTCGTCCACCACAACCTCTCTGTGTCCATCTGAACTGCTTGGCGGAAGGGAGTTGGACGAACTTATTTCAAATGTTTCCAATACACCGGAAGTCGTAGTTTCGTCGTCCAAAACTTCTGCAAAATCATGTCGTGAGTCAACGAATTCACCTTGCAACAGCGACATTGAGGCCGTATTCAAATTGAACGAAGTTGAAGGTTGTTGATTCAGCGATAATGAATCCGATTGTTCCTTTTTATTTTTAGCGGCAGCAACAACGGTGGTTGTAGCAATGCCAAATTTATTCGAATCAATAGATTTGGGACATTTTTCTTCCATAATACGGTACGACCAGCAGTTGTGTCCAAAAATAGTACGCTGTAAGGGATAAATTGTTTTACTTAGTGACAATATACGTAGAAATACATAAGTTATTTGTTTACATATAGTACATCATATCAACAAAAGCAAACTTTTAGAGCGCTTGAGTCTGAATATATATTTATTAATTACTTCCGACATACACACATAATCATTAAAAGTTTTAATTTTGTAACAAAAATTTTTAAGTTTTTGTTACTAAGCTCTGGATTCTAATATGGAAGAAATTCGATATTGCCTTCACCCACAGCGATTATGTAAGCCAAAATTGAAGTAAATAAAACGCAATATACGTTCATTAAAAGTAAAAAACAAAAAAATTAAATAAAAAAATACTATCAAAGAATTCTTGTTTGTACGGACGATGATCTTCTCGCACGAAATTCCCACAAGTATTCAGCAAACCATACTCGTACAACATATCGGTTGTTTGTATGGTAAAAACGTGTACTCATACTCGCAGGCGTTGTAGCGTACTCAACTCATCTCGCTTTGGACGGGTAGTGCAAATGCGAATTCAAAAATTCCCATACACACACTAACACAGCAAAAAAGACAGTAAGCTAGCACAACAAAGGCAGTTTAAATTACACCAACAACAAATGAATAAAAAAAAATTTTGTACTACACCATCAATGATGGCATGCAACAACAATAGCAACTATGCTCAACAACTGATCACAAATAGTACCCATTGTCTCACGTTCAAATGGCGATTCTCATGGGTACAAGCACACAAACACATGTCAACTTATGTATTTATCTACGTATATAGAAGTACAAAAACAAAAAAGGGAAAAGTAAATAAAGCGAAAATCGCATACAAACATACAAGCATGTAAACTGCAAAAAAGAATCGGTGGGAAAGACAGTATATGAGTACGCAGCAGCCAGTCAACTAGCCAGCAAACCCAACACATGAACCAACAATTCAATGTGCTTGCTTGCCTGCCTGCATGAGAGGTTACCTTTGTAGTACAAAATATAAAAAAAATACCAATTGCATTACAATCAAAAGGAAATCACAAAAGTGCATAAAAGCAGAGTGAACGAGCCACAACGATCGAGCGTAACCAGAATGAAGACGATACTCAATGGATATGTGTAAATGAGCTGAACCGAACCCTGTCAAAAGGAGGAGCGAATGATCGAGTGATCAACGAAATAAATGAGACGAATGAACTGCGACTAACTGGTGTCGGTGAATATTATAACGTTGTGAGGGGCAAAGATATTGTATAAATGCAAAAACAGTAAAGAATCACACAAACGTGTGTTGATAACGACGAAGAAACGTATTGCTGTGTGCACCTTGCGGCAAAAATTTCTGCCGCAAACCAAAATATATATATCTACGTGTGTATATACATATGTATTGTATATACTTCGGTGGCGTTCTCTGTACATGCACAGTCAACGTCATTGCGGTACGCCAGCTGTTGTATTCCAATAGCATTTACGGTTTATGTACGATATTTTGTGAGAAAAATACGTTTCCCCAATTTTATACTTGTTCACACAAAATTGTAACGTTAACCACATCTGGAAACACCGCAAATCAAAAAAAAAAAAAAATATATATATATATATATTAAACAAATAATACATAAGATACAATTTAAAAAAGCAGAGAATTTGTTATTTCACACGTACTTAAAGCTCCTTGCGTACTACATACCAAGGAGAATTTATAAAATATTTTATATCAAATGTATAAATTGTTTAAGATTTCACTTTAATAATTTTCTAATACGCTATCGCCTTGAAGTCAATTTTGAGAAGAATTAGTTACATAACGGACACAATGTCAATAATTTATATAGCAGTACAAAAGCCATCTCATCAAATGAATTTATGTTTATTAACGTCCGTTAAGTTTTCTCACCACCAACATTAACAATATCGCCCATGAGCATATATACCTATGTGACATTTATGTGTCGGTATGCTATGCATTCTATTAAGAATCAATGACTACGCGTGTTAGCGGCGCTGCACGTTTACCTACCTATATATTTCTAAACTATTTATGAGTATCTGGCTGCGTAACTTGGACAATATAATTCTCGCACACTGATTTTTACCTGAGAGAATGTATGCTTCTAATAGAACGAAGACGAGCATAGCCCAAAAACTGATACTACATGAAATGATGGTTGTTGGGCAGAAGTCAACACAATGACTGTCACAGCTGTGGATGTAAAATTCGAATTGCCTGTGCATTTAAGACTAACCATACTTTACTGAAAAATGTCTAAATAGGATGAGCTGCGGGTTGCACCATTTAGAGAATGATACATGTAACGGAATTTTATATTAGTTGTACAGCAAAATCGCAACTATATGAAGGATATAAAATATTTGTTGGAGAATTTTTTTATGTAGCAATTTTCCATTGCTTTTCGTTATGTACAAAAAAGATATGCATCTATTTCTACAGCGAATTATATGAAGAAATTAGAAGTGACTAGGAGCAACTTTAAGCCAAAAATCAAGAGAAATTTATTTAAATGTACATATGTAAAAATGTCCAACCGGTGACACTAAACGGATTAACATAAACTATTTAACCATAATTGTTTTCACTTCGTACTTGTGCGAGACTGTTATTTAAATAAAGTTGTACCAAAATCTACAACAAAATTAAAATTTAACTGCATTAAAACATTAAGCCGCTCCAAATTACTAAGGGGGAAATGCATAAAGACGATAAACGGGGTAACGACGCATCGAGTTCCGGTGCAGCTAACGTTTTTACACGGATAAAAAACAAATCGCACTACATACATATATTTACACACAAAATAAAGATGAGAAAATGCCGACGTAGCAGAGCAAAGCAGAGACGCCATGAGTTTCACTACAGTATATACAGACATGTTGCCACTGGTACTCCACCACATACACAAAATCACACACGCGCTCGCACCGCTGTTAACAAACGTCACGCACCCCAAATCAGGAATTTTTGGTTTTTTCTTCTACTACTTTGGCTCCCCACCTTTTCACTGTTACTCTGCCCCATTCACGATGCACACACCACATACACACACATATACATGTACAATGAGGACGATTACACTTGCAAATTAACGAAAAAATTTCACTGCAAATGGCCTCCAACTCGATGCATAATAAGAAAATTTCAGAAATTCAGCACATTTTCCCCATTTTACATTGAAGAACATCTTTAATGATGATTGCAACTTCTTTTACGTTTCGTTTTATGCCTTTGTTGCTGTCACATACCACTTTGAAGAATTTCAATTCTTCAAATATAGAAAAGCTTGCTCTCACCTTTCTGTGTACTTTATACGAATCAAATTATTGGGCCTTCACTAAACACCGCGATTACTACGCCCTTAAACGTTAATTCAATTATTTTAGTAATACTTCAAGTTTTCTATTCAATTTTCTAATGTCCAAATTCTTCTGAGTTCTTTCTTGCAAACTGTCGAATTCTTCAGTGAGTGAGACGTATAAAAATTGCCAGCCATTAAAAAAAGAACTTCGTATTTCTTCGTGAAACCAATGCAGACAAGTTAACCCAGAGTATTACCGTACTTTCTGAATTATTATTCTATAATTATTTTATACAAAATTTCGTTTGCAATAATTTAGATATAATCTTAAAAGCTGCCGCTTATAAAATGTTTTTTACGCAAATAAACCCTTAATGTTATTCTCCCAGATAGTTTTCAGTTAATTCTGTATATTTTCCTATGCCTCATCAGTTTTCATCAAAATCTATGCAAATATTGTAAATAGTGTTTTCATTTGTTTTCTTTTATCACTAAAGATTTATGTGTTAATTATAAAATTCATGTATGTTTTTGCACTAAATACGCAAGTGACAACTTATTCTTGTTTAAATTTTTGCATAAGCAATAAATTTCATTATAAAATTTTGAGTAAAGCCTATAAATTTATTTGTTCTGGCATCCCTCTGTTGAGATGGTTCACCGACAAAATTCGAATAACAACAAAACAGTGTAATTTGCAGAAAACAGCTGATTTTTCTGTTTTTTGTTAGGCCTAACAACTGCCTTTGACTACCCTCAGCATAGAACAAATTGCATTAAAGTAATGTCATCGCCGGCGCCAAAATCTCCAGAACAATCAGATAAAAGCAGAAAATATGATCGTCAAATTCGTTTATGGGGAGAGCATGGACAAAGCTTGTTGGAAAGTTCTACAATTTGTTTGCTGAATGCAACGGCACTAGGATGTGAAGTTCTGAAAAGTCTCGTCCTACCCGGCATTGGTGGCTTTACTATCGTAGATGGAAACGTAGTCACCGAAGATGATTTGGGAATAAAGTATTTGAAGTAATAGTTTATAAACTATAATTTTTAATGCAGCTTTTTTTAGTTTCTTTTTGGACATCTCATTTCTTGGCCAATCCAAAGCAAGAGCCTGTATGCAATTGCTTCAGGAGTTAAACACAGATGTTAATGGTGATTTTGTGGATGAAAGCGTTGATTGGATACTATCAAATCGTCCGGCTTTTTTCGACACTTTTGATGTAGTTATTGCATCGAATCTAAATGAAAAAGCTTTGTGGGGATTATCGGACCGTCTCTGGGAGGCAAATATTCCGTTTATCTATTGCAGATCATTGGGATTTTTTGGTTCTATTCGCTTACAAATAAAAGAACATTGTGTAATTGAATCGCATCCCGATAGCCGTCAGTATGATCTCCGACTAGAACAACCCTTCCCCGCATTACAAAAACATTTCGAGGTAAATTTCTTATGTTTATAATAAATTTATTTAATATTCTATAGGTTGATTAATTTCTCTAAACAATATGTCTTAGAATGAATGTATAATTTTTATTGTTTATTTAGAGTACAGAAATCACTAGCAAAGTTCCATGGCTATTGGTGCTTAATAAATTTATGCAAGTATGGAAGCATAAAAACGGTGGACACTTTCCCGCGAATTATAAGCAAAAGTCAGAACTCAAGGAAATGATTCGCGCAGGTAAACTTGTAATATAACTTACATTATTTATTTACTAAACTAATACAATTTTAGCAATGACGGCGGATGAGGAAAATTATGAAGAAGCCATTAAAGCGGTAAATACTGCTTTAGGTGGAGGTAATGTGCCTTCTTCGATTAAATCGATTTTCGAGGATAATGCTTGTACGAACCTTAGCAAACAAAGTAGCCCCTTTTGGATAATAACAAAAGCTTTAAAAGAATTTGTAGAGAATGATAATAATGGGTTGTTGCCACTTCCTGGTGTGCTACCAGATATGACTGCGGACACTGAACCATATATAACATTGCAGAACATTTATCGTCAACAAGCTTTACATGATGCAGACAACGTTTATCGCAAATGTCAAAAATATTTAAAAGAACTTGGTTTGCCTGAAGACACCATTAGTGAAAAAACAGTACGCTTATTTTGCAAAGAAACAGCTGGCTTGGCAGTTTTACGCGGCACTAAAATTACAGATGAAAACGCTAAAAGTAGTAACATACTTTCATTCGGTTTGTTAAATGTATTGATTTTTGCTGAATATTTTACTAACCATTCATTTTTAGTTGACGATTTAGAAATTCAAGGTACGCTTGCTGAACATTATGTGGCCCTACGTGCATATGAACGTTTTGTATCCGAATGTGGCAATGTACCCGGCGAATGTTACGTTGAAAACGATGTGAAGGAGCTTAAAACGGTCGCAAGTAAAATGCTATCAGATTGGGGGGTTCATGCCTCCATTAGTGATGACTTGATACATGAAATTTGTCGTTACGGTGGCTCGGAGATACATTCAATATCAGCGTTCATAGGTAATGTGTGCATAATTAGGTCCATTTGTTAAATAATACAAGAGTTTATTCATTTAACAGGTGGTTGCGTAGCCCAAGAGGTCATAAAGATTGTAACCAAACAATTTAAACCTATCGATAACACGTTTTTATACAATGCCATTACCTCCGAAACAACAACATTTAAACTTTAAAGACCTGCATTTTGTATGTTATTGCGAAAATACTAACCGAAATATAAATATTACCAAATTCCAATTAGGTCTTGTTTATCCAATATTTCTAAACTTTAGTAAAATATATTTTACTTCAACGCTCATTTTATTTGCACATAGTTACACATAAGGGTCAGCATATCAAATATGCTGCTGGCAATTAAATCCACTTTTTTAACACATTACAAACATTAAAAAAATTTATTAATTATTATTTTTATTTGTTTCTCATTGTTGCAATTATTGCAATCAATTAGTTTAATTTGACGTAGCGAAGACATGAACCAAAAAAGTATCTGATTAAACTTGGCATCCCTATACTGATTGCAATTTTGCTCCTAAAACAGCTGATCAAATAAAAAGCATATAAACAAATTGCAACAAACAATAATATTTTGATAACACATTAATTGGTATACTCAACAAATTTAAAACAAATATATAACTTCAACATTTAGTGTGTTTTGCTATCTTGGAATGGATGCTACAAAAACATTTTTTAATGCAGTAATTCTGCTCTAATTTTCAATTAGGAGGTATGCTGCGCAGATATTATTGTAAATAAAATATGACTGCTGAACTGAAAGTTGCTGAGCGAAAATAAATTTGTGTACATTTATACAAATCTTTCACTATGGATGAACTTTACAATTCATGCCTTGCTTGTGCAAAAGAATTAAACTCACACAAAAATTTAAATGCACCAAATAAAGTTAACATTTTCGAAACACTGGATATCGCAAAGAAACTTGCTACCTGTATTTCAGTAGAAATATCGCTTGCAGACGAATATCCGAAATTTCTATGTGCATGTTGTTATCAGAAAGTCAATGATTTCTATCGGTTCCGAGAAATGTGTAGAAAATCAATTCAACATTTTGAAGAACTGCTATTGGCTAAAAAATCATTGTTTTCAGAAGATGAAGTTCTCATTTCAATTTTGGAAGATCAGTCGAGAAACGTTACTCGAGTGAACGAACTAAATCATCTTGAAGACACTCCTGTTAAATATAAAGAAGATTTGGAAAAGCAATCAAAAGTGATTGATGATTATAATAAGGAATATAAAATAGCAAATGCAGAATACTGTAGACAAGGGATGCCAACACTAAACAAGCATAGTGATGATGAAGACAACTGCGATTCTGATGTTGCGGATAACATCAGCAACAACTCATCTCTTAATGAAAACAGCAAAACCTCAAAAAACGTTGCTAATATTAAATTTAGCAAATTCAAATCAATAAAAACAACGCGTCTAAAAAAATTGGCTGATTGCGATGCGAAGACGACTTATCGTTGTGATATCTGTTCGTCACGATTCTTCGCTGAGCACCGTCTCATTGCTCACAAACGCGAACATGAAGGCCTTATACCGTATCCTTGCACGCGCGAGGGCTGCAGCAAAGCATTTAATCGTAGGAGTGGACTGGCAAGGCACCTAAGACAGCATGATGGACATAGTTTTCAGTACGCTTGCGATCAAGACGGCTGTGATAAAGTGTATAAGCACAAGCCAACTTTAGTCATGCATCAGCGTAAATATCATAAATTGGGACCGGAGTTAAAAACGCACATTTGTGAAATTTGTGGCAAAGTATTTAAAACGACGACAATGCTAAACGATCATCATTACACGCACAAGGACAAATCTGAACGTCCCTACGCGTGTGAACAGCCAAATTGCATGCGTCGATTCTCAAATAAGGATAAACTGAAGGTGCATCTTATGCGACATGCTGGAATTAAGAACTATGTGTGTACACATTGTGGCATGCGCAAAACCACAATGAACGAGTTAAAGGTATCTAAGTGTATCTACTTATTATGCATTAAAAACACACATTTCTAAATTTTTCTTGCATTCCTTCTAGGTTCATATTAATTATCATACGCTGGAACGTACGTGGCCATGCCGGTTTTGCACACACATTTGTAATAGTTCAGGCAATTTGAAAACACATATACGCACTGTGCATGAGCGTGCTAAAGATTATGCATGCCGCTATTGTGAGCGCACTTTTGCCAAACCAGACACGCGCAAATACCATGAAATGACACACACGGGGGAGAAACCGAATGAATGCTCCGAATGTGGTAAGCGCTTTTTACAACCAGCAGCATTGCGCACTCATCGCAAGATTCATCAGCGACAGGGCGCGTATAGTTCAAAAGCGAAAATAAGTGAAAAGGAGAAACCTGCGCAAGAAACTGTACTCAAAATAGTAGAAAGTTCTGAATAATGAATAAAACGTTTTGAAAAAGTTTATATGCATTTTGTAAATCACACTGTATCCATATGACATGAGTAGTTCTGTATATCCAAACCTAGGAAACTACTTTCTGAGAACTCAGGCTAGAATAGTTAGATGAGTGATACACAAACAAAAAAAAAAAAAAAGAGTAAACGTTAATTTCGGTTGCAGCAAACACAAATAAAGTAGTTTTTATACAAGAACTTGATTTTGATTTTTCAGTTTGTTCAGTTAAAATAGTTTTTATTTAAAAACTTAATTGTGATCTATCAATCTGTATTACAGCTATATGCTATAGTTTTCCGATCTGAACAATTCCAAAAAAGTTTTCCCATATAAGAACTTGTTTTTAATTGTTCAGTTTGTATGGCAGCTATACGCTATAGTGTTCCGATATAGGCAGTTCTGATAAAGGTATTAGGGGAGAAAAGGACGTGTGCAAAATTTCGGCCCGACATCTCAAAATCTGGGGGAATAGTGCGCATATATACAGACAAATAGACGGACAGAAGACCACTACTAAATCGACTCAGCTCGTCACGCTGATCATTTACATACATAGATACATCGTTGCGCCTCCGACGTTTCCTTCTGGATGTTACAAACTTTGTGGCAAACTAAATATACAATGTTCTGGGCAGGATTGCGAATTTTTTAATTTAAAAATTATGAATCAAAAATAAAATTTTTATTTTTTAATCTCGATGTTGGGAAAATTCTTTTTTTAATTTTTAATTATATGCTTAAGATGAAATGGTTTTTAAAAATTAAAAACAAATTTTTGATCCGGCTTTTGGGATTACAATTGTTATTTTTTTAATCCGGTATGCGAAATTATAAATATTTAAATTCAAATTTTAATTTAGTTATTTCATTAATGTATTATTTTCAACCCTGGTTCACAGTATAAAGAAGAACAAATTAACAACCGCTAAGCACATTTTTTTTTATTAAAAGTTCATTCTTTATTTTCTTAAAATATATTAAACTATATTACGTTCACATATATTTTATAATTTACATACTCGTCAAGTCAAGAATGAAAATTTTAGAATTAAATTGTTCAGAAAGTAATAATATTTTCGTAATAATTAATATATGTAAGTATTTAGCTGCTAGGCGTATATTTAGTTTAACAAAATGCTGTTGCAAAAATTCTAACAAATAAAAGGTAAAAAGGAGAAGGTATCTCTTAAAACAGATATTCTTACAACTTTCATACATAAGCCGAAAATGTTGTGTTTTGTTTTTTTTTTTGTAAATAAGTACACCTTTAAATTGAATATTTTGTAAATATGTATGTACAATATATAAATTCATTCTGATTATTCATTTTAACGCTTACTTGCTAGAGCACATCAGAATATTCCTTGAAATCAGCAGCTTGTAAATATTGAATGTATATTTGTTTTATAACAATTAAGTTGTAAATAATTGTATGTATGTATATGTACATATGCATGTAAAAATAATGTATGTACATATGCAATATGCATTATATAATATTAGGCAAGGTCATTGTTATTGGTTTACGTGTTATTGTGATATTAGTATAGTTAAAAGTACATATGTACATACATACATACATACATATGCAAGTAAATAGGCTCAGTCAATACGGAAACATTTACAATATATAAATATGTAATTTTTTTCATTTAAATGCAATAACTTTATACATACACAAACTAAGGTTAACTGTATATATGTACATTTTACATACACGCACGCTTAACAGATAAATATGCATTATTCTAATATGTTCCTTTAAGGATTTCAATATGTCTCTAATAATGTTTAACTCGCGTAGCTTTTTTTAATCTTTTTAAATATTGTTTTTTTAAATATTTTTTTTTTTGTTTTTCTTTTCTTGCTCATTGTTTATTGTATACATAGATAGCTGTTGCTTATTCAAAAACATATTTATATACACATCTGTGTGTGTATTTCGAAACGTATACTGCATTTCATATACAAATTATACTTTCATATTTGAACGCCAATTTGCACATCTATGGGTCCACACTAAATATTTAGGCTAAATATCACCAACGATTAAATCGTTAAACCTTAACAGACTTACTTACTAACTCAATTACAATAGAATAATTACAATAATTTTATTTTCTTTCTTCACCGTCAATTTCATACCATAATGTATTATATAATTCTATAAATATTCTTAAGCACTTCAACATTATATTTACCTCAAAGATACATATTACGTATACATATATATAATAATAATTGGTAATCTAATATTATATAACTCTACATAAATAGCGCTTTATGCTTTCAAGAATCTCACTGTTGCAACAGTTTTGAATAATTCACAATAAATTATTTATTAACAAATATAAGCTCGTTGAATTTCTTTTTTCGTTTTTTTTTTCTGCCCTAAATATGATATTTTTTTTTACATTTCTCTGCTACTCTCCCTCTACAGCAACCTATCAACGCTCTCGCTGCCATTCTTAACAACTAACGCCCGCAAGTATGCTACATTGCGTCAAGTGCATATTCGAAATAATTTCATTTAAATGCTTTTTAAAATCGCTATACACCCTCCTCGCACTGCCGCTCATCCTCCGTATCTCATACATAGTCTGAGGGCACTGTTGCCGCCACAGTGCTTGTGCTTGTCTCGTTGATGGCCGCCAAGCGTGGTATGCGCCGCTGTGAGGCTTCGTTCGGTCCGCCGCTGCCGATGCCGCTCATTGTGCCGCCAACACCCATGCCCAAGACGCCACTATTCGCAACACCGCCACCGCTGCTGCCTTCCCAATTGGGGAGTGGTTGTGACATGACCGTTAGGCCGACTATTTCGTAGGCACGCTCATTGCCGCCGCCTGGCACGGCGGTCACCGAGAGGTCAGAATAATAGGCGCTACTGGGCGCTGATGACACCACCATCGGAATGTCCTGTTCGTGTTGTTGGAAATTGTATTTCTGAAAGATAAAATTAATTAGAATTTAATGTGTTAGCTGATTTTCGTGAACACAAACAATTGCGTGACAATGAGTGTGGTTTTTTCTTGGAAACTTTTTAAGATAAAAATTGAACTCGGAATTTAATTTAGCAAATAACTTTTAGCCAATTGAGATATGTATGCATTACAGCTGAATAAACTTAGGTTTTTCGAAAAGCGCCCGAAACCATTCAATAAATTTCCTACGACAAGTGATTCTAAGCAGCCGAATCTATTTCTCATTCGAAGATCTTATTTTGAAAAGCGAGCGCTTTCGAGAGCTCTCTGGAATATTGGGCCAAGACGACCAAAGGAAAACCCAATCATAGTTACGTATGTATAATCGGTGTATACAGTTAAACTATTTTCTTTTAATTCTTCAAGGCATAATTAAGATCACGCAAGATGAATTCATAATTTTGACTATGCACTCCTTCCAAAAATCGTATCAGTTTATAAGAGCTAGGCTTTGTCGATCGAGATCATCTTCAATACTGACCCTTCTCATTGGAATGATCATAAAAAAAAATGAGAGAAAAGCTTATGGGTTCGGACAATGTTAATTTTTTTTAATTATATAAATATAATAGAAACTTTGTGCTAATTCAACAACCTAAAAACTCTGAATTCCGAAATTCTGTCTATTGCCTTAACTCACCTCACCACACTGACTGTAGGCCGTATTTTGATATGACGGATTTGCCGAACGTACCGATTCGCGGTCCAATTCAGCGTACAATGCCTCATTAACTGGACTGTATGCATCGTCCATGTGTGTATAATGATTTTCGGCGGGCGACGATGATGGTGGTCCAATTTGATCGGGACTAGCCGAAGAGCGCCGACTCCATGACCAAACACCAGAATTACTATTCGGACGTCTTCGTATGCTATCGGCTTGATGTTTGATGGAGAGTGTGGAACGACCATTCGAGCCGCCATTACGATTGTTACGACACCACCAAGGTTGTGTACGACCAGCTGTAAAAAGAGAGTAAAGAAACAGTTATGGTAAATGTGATATTTTTGTAATTCTACAAATTGTGCGAAGTTTAGAAATCTATTCTTTGATGAACAACAAAATAAATATACAACATTTACAACAAGCTTTTGCAGCATTTCGGAACATATTAGTTTTCCTAAATGAAAACCTGAGGGGTGCTAAAAGTGATGTGATTGCTGTTAAATAAATATTATTAATTTGGCCTGTTATATGAAATATGCTTAAATAAACATAGAGAATTTCGAAAACAATTTCAAAAACGGCAAATACCTAAGAATATTTTAGGCATTAGTTATATATTTTACCAAATAATATGCAAATTCTTAACAACTTCTCAGTCCACAGCTGACCCCAATATAACAATGTCTAAAAAATAATGTTTCATAATTGTTTCTTATTTTATGTTGATACATATATGTATGATTGTGCCTATGTTTCCACGATCAGAGACCATCGCTTGGTTCTCTTCGTAGCCCTTTCCCGTTCCTCACCTCAAAATCACAAAGAAATTGAAAAAAACCAATACCATACTTAATGTTTGGTGAATTGAAAGGACAAAAAAAGACTTCGTGACGATTACAAAAATTTTCCAAAATATATTCATGTCAACAAAATTGACCAGGGCAAATAAAAAAGTTCGGGTGTAACGGAACATTTTATATTGCAAGAATCAAAGCAGAGAAAATACCATCAGGTGTAGCAAAACTACATATTAAACTAGAAAAAACGTGAAGTTTAGCTGCACCGAAGCTCTACTAAAAATTTTGAACCATCACTTTGTATGGAAATATATCTTATAGTGGTACGATATTCGCGTTTTCGGGTAAAGAGCAGTTTCTTGGAAAAAAAAGAACGTGTGCAACTTTATTTACACTTTAAGGGGTCAAAGACCCCTTTGTTTACATTGATTAACATCTAGCCAAGCTCACAAAGCTCACAACCTTTGATTACATTTAGCCAAGTCAACTACCTTTGTTTATAATTGGGGTCAATGGCTCTTTTGTTTACATTTTATGGGGTATTATGAGGTTAATGACACTTTTATTTAACCAATGATCATATGGTATATTAGGACGGTCCTTAATTTTAAGAAGCACATCTTAAAATAAATTTTGAATTCCATCGAAGACCTAGCCCTTAAAGACTAACGGTAATTACATACAATCTAGGTAAAAATAGCATCTGCTAACAACAAAAACTCCTTATTATACGTGCAATGTTGAGTAAGTATTCTCGTGCTGTCGCTCTGCTTTTTCATATAACATACATATGTGTATACAACTGTACTTACAAGTGTCAAAATACACGGATGTCATATATTGAATGAGTGAATGTTGGGGCGTTGCCAAAAACGTTGCACTGCAAGCAACAATAAGAACAACAACTGCTAGCGCTCTGGCTGCACTGACACCGCAGTAGAATTATAGCATTTTATCAAACTATTTATTATTAGTTTTTATGTTTTTTTTTTTAAAACGAACACCATGTATATACATACTTTTGTATGCTAAAGTTTTCATTCACATTTCAGTTCAATTAAATGCATAGCGTATGATTTGAAAAGCGACAGGCTGACTATGCAGCATATTTGTTTTAAACACTATAAAGGCACAACGAGGCGTATGAGTAATGTAGGCAGTTTAAAGTGCGATTATTTATGGCTTACAACATAGTATAATACATATGTATGTACATATGCATAAATACTCAGCCGCATGCGCATATAAATATACAGTTATTATATATGCATATATGTGGCTGTGGATTTTGGTGGTTCATTGGTGCTAACCCGTCACAATACAAATTGGTGTTGACTTTTATCGTAGCGTGTCATTAATAGCGCACTTTAAGATCAAAGAAAACTCTTAGTCATACACACAGCAGATCTACATATATACACACAGCTTCTTAGCGCTGTCACACACATGCTCCTTCACGTAGAAGCTTATGTAAACAGATACTCGCATATCAATATAAATATGAGATTGTAAGGCGATTAGAGAGGGTGGGAAGGATATCTAGTCAAACGCCGTAAAATTCCAATATTTATCGCTTTCATAGTTATGAATGACTTCGTTGACAGTCAACAGTTGGGGGTGTGGTTACGGCTGGTAGTGTCGAATATGGTTACATATGTATGTATGTATGTGACGGCATGTCAGTAGTTCGAGTTGTTTGCCTTTGCCTGTCTGTTTGCTAAGCATTCGCGTTCGATTACACACTCAATTATTTATACGAATGTAAATTGTTTGTTGAAAAACAACGGCCTGATTATGTGTGCAATTGCTTGCACGATATGTATGTATGTATGGGTGCGTGTGTGTATTTGAAATTTGCAAGTGTTTATTTGCAAACAAAAAATTACCAACATATTTGATAATAATCTCTGGTTGATTATTCATTGAATCATGTGCAAGAGTAATCGTGTGTGTGTGTGTGCGTGTCTGTGCTGGTTTTAACTTTCACTTGTCTAACGTTAGTAATTAATAAGGCTGAGTCAGTTTGGCGAACTTACATACATACATTCAAAAGTACATACTGAATATGAATATTCAAATGCAATCAATTTTTAATAAAAGTAGTATCTATTGAGTGGTAAAAGAGGAGCTCAAATGAGTAGTGTAAAAACTGCTGATATGAATCCACAGGTCAACTTCCATACAATAGTCATCAGAAAAATATGTAAAAATAGGCGCCATCTAGTCGCAAGTGGACTAAAAAAGATAAACATTAACTTACATTAACATTAACCGAAGCTATAATACACACAAATAAATAAGTTTTTATACAAGGGCTTGGTTTTGATCAATCAATTTGTATGACAGCTTTATGCTATATCGGTTCAATCCGTTTAATTGGTTTGAAGATTGTAGCATTGCCTTGTAAAATAAAACATTCAAAATTTTGTAAAGATATTTTGTCCAAAAAAAAAAAAAGGTTGTCCATAAAAGCATTTGATTTTGATTGAACTTTTTGTATTGCATCTATATGCTGTACTGGTCAGATATAAACAACATGATTGGAGATTATAGCGTTATTTTTGGTAATAATATGTGCCAGATTTTATGAAGATATCTTGTCAAATACAAAAGTAGTCCGCTCTGAACAATCTATTCGAAAATTATAGGCTTTGCCTTGAATAATAAACTATGCTAAATTTCGAAAAGATTTCTTGTCAAATAAAAAGGTTTTCCATAGAAGGACTTGCTTTTGATCGGTCTGTGTGTATGGCAACTAAATGTTCTTCGTTCCAAACTTAATACAACTGTTTGCGGTATACAAATTTTCAAGTAACTGCTCAAAGGAATCTCTCTTGTTGCAATATCAGAAATATTTACTAAAAGTTTTAAAATTTCGAACATGTTAAAGAAATTGAGAGTTTTAAGATTTTCCCCAAGATATCCAAAGCCGTGCGAGTATCAATAACAAATACCACCAACACCCATACATGTCTGTGCATAACATTGTAGTTGTCGGTTTTGTCATCCGAATTACTGCAGTGACAAATCGCCGATGTTGACCAATGACCATTAGCATTTTGGCATAAGAAAAGAGAAAAATGCAATCGAAAAGCCAATTAGCCATTGGCGATGTTCAACGCTGAGTAGCGGAATTTGTTAACCGTTTTTCGTTGTTTTACTCGCTGCTACTCTCGAATTTTTTCGGGAAGAACAGTTAAGCGCAAGTTGACTTCGTTGTTGCACAGCGAAAAGTTAAACAAACAACGAAAAGTAAAAAAAGAAAATGAAAAAGAAAAAGACTAGGAGAAAGGATAAACATTGAAAAAAGCAACAACAATAACGAAAACTTTGATCGTAACGCAGTTAACTTAAATCACCGAAACTAAGTTCGGTCGCGTGTGTAATTCGGCGCTGACGTTTGGTTTTTGCATGTGTGTTGTTGTTATTTTCAGCACAGTTAAGAAACTAGAAAAAATTGAAGTAATTCAACAAATCGTTAACATGGCAAGCGCTGTGGCATGTTTATAGCCGAGTGCGTCGGTGGACGCTGGGTTCTTTACTCTTAAATATTTAACACAAAAGGAAAATTGATGTTGGGAGAAGTCTTGATTGTTGTTTTTGTGTTAGTATAAAAAACTCATACTTTTGAGGTTTGACGTCGATTTTTAGTTTCACATCCGGGCTGTTTATTTTTGTTATGTGGATCATTCTTTCGTAGAAACGTTTCTTAGACGATTTCAAAATCAAAGTCTCTCGTCTTCTGTTGACCAAATTCGTAACGATTTAAAAAATCTAGCTAAAAATCGCGGCTCAAAGAAAAATACCAGCCATTGTTATTTTTGTAATTATAGCAACAAAGAAGCAAGCCAAATAATTTTGGGAAATGGAGCTGACAGTGCTTCGCTGAATACAAATCTAAGTTGGTTCAGAGCAATCCGAAGACGGTGTAAGACCACGCCCAAAGCTAAGACCAAGCATCAATCTTACTACCTAGTTCAAGACTAAGTTCACAATACTTTGTTTCCGAGAAGACATTGACGACCTAGAACTGACGCCTTAGAACTCCATATGCAATAATCATGAAGTACATCAGTTTCAATTGAGACTCGGGTTTTTTGCTAAGTAAACTTAAATCACAATTAATTATCATGAAACATTTACAAATACGTTCGCAGAGGGCGCCAAAAGATACATGAAAAAGAAGCATTGATTCTGTAGAAAAAATGTGGGTGAAGCATATACGTATGTATGTATGTACAACGCTGAGAAAAAAAAAGTTTGGTTACAAAGTGAAACAGGCGAACAGATTAACGATTTGTTGAGAACGAAAAGACACGCGCCGCAAATCCTTTGACAATCACAAAGCATACACAAACTAAAAAAGTAGAAACACCGAAAGGCCGAAAAAATGTGACATACAGTTAAAACCGTTGTGAGTACAGCAATACAAACAGTTAAAAATTCCAAGCAAATCGTTGCGGATAAAAGGAATAAAGTCACAAGGAACGCACGTCGCT